TGCCCAAATCACACAGCCAGGATTTAAACCCAGGTCTTTCTGAATATAGTACCTGTTACATTCTACTAACTCTGCCTGTTTACAAAGCAATGGTTTACAAAACTGAATAGAACAAAATCCTTTCTCTGCCTTGAAGGGTCTCCCACTGTGGGTGAGCTAGTCTTTCTGACAGACCCTGGGTAAGTAGTACTGCTACCATAAGCATGGTTGCCCTGTGCTAAAGAGGGAATGATTCAAGTATAGGACAGGGGAAGGTGCCACTTGTCTTCTCCATACTGAATATGGTAGAGAGCTAGGGAGTAGAAACTGATGGAATAGATGTCTGCAGTAAAGGAACAGGGATTGGAAGATTTTAACAAAGGGCAACAAGGGAAGAATGGTAGGTACTTTGAGATACTGTAAACATTACTAAGGGGGGGAAATCTTCAAAAAAGGTGAAATTCTGTAGCAGAGTACAAATTTATTAAGCAAATGAAAATACATACCAATTTTTATTTCTGATCTGTAATACAGAGGTAATACCAGCCTAATGGGGTTTTGAGAGAATTAGATGAGGTGATACACACTTAAGTACCACTAACATAGTGCCTGGCACATAATAAGGAATCATTATATTTAACCATTGTTATTATTGGCATAATTTGGTCTTCTGGAAAAGTGGTAGGGGAGGGAAATGCTCTATCTCCGTCATTATGCCAAAGGCTGAGCCATATCTGGAATAGATTTTTGCTGCTTCTAAGACAAAACAGCTCTGTTCAACTTAATTTGAAGTTGTTTTCCTAGACTTCATTTCCTCTCTCCCCATATACATATTTTCCTAGAATAATCATTTGACTTTTTCAGTATAGCCATTTTAATTACAACCTCTAATTATCACTTTGCCAAAAGGTTTATGTGTCCATTGCAAGATGGCATGGTTATCCCAACACCACCTTTTCTGTCCTGTCTGCTCCACCACCGTTGCACATTGGCCTGGCTGACCTGGCTCCGAGGGGCTGCCTGTACACCCTGCATGAATTAACTGCATCGATGTTGTCTGCTCCCATTGTAGCTAATGGCACTGACTCAGCCCTCCATGTGCTTGCTGCTAAGCCAGCCCATACTGCTCTAGCTCCCGTAGCAATGCCTGTGCGTGAAACCAACCCTTGGGCCCATGCCCCTGATGCTGCTAACAAGGGAATTGCAGCCATGAGTTCGGGTAAGGTGGCTACAGATGGTGGTGAGGATTCTGGAATCAGATAAATGACCCTGGTTTGAAAATCAGCCATTTACCTGAGTGGGAACCAGGGAGGAGCCCTTTTAGGAAAAGTGTGTTCCTTCCTGGAAATGAATTACTATTAAGAAAGGAAAGTGAAAGAGAGGAGCTAAAGAGGTTAGATTGGAAATTCTTAGGACTACAGAACAAAACTACCCATAGAGCCTTCTTAAATACATATTCCTGGGCCCTTCTCCAAGAGTCTGTCACTGGATTTGGAGGTATGTGGACATATATAGACCAAAGGGGACCCTGCCTCCTACAATGGCAAGTCTACAAACGGGCTACAAAAAAGCACTTTTCTGTGCTTTCTAGGTTTTTTTTTGTGATAAATGTGTTAATTATAAAACCAAAAAAATTTTAAATAATGATAAAGGCAGTTTACCAGAAAGACACCATGTGTCTGGAAGCCAGACAGGCCACAAGGTATGGCATCAAGTCTCTGGTTATTTTCTTTTCATTCTGTGAGAGCAGAAGGTGAATCACCATCAGCCCTTTAGAGTGTGTACAAGCTGGCTTCTATCCTGCAGATGAGCCCAGCAACGAGGAGGAGTTTCTGATGCTAGCCTGCTGCCTTGGTGCCGTGCAGCATGGCTGAGACAGCAGCCTGACAGGTTCCCTTTGCCCTGACACAGAAGCTCCTCAATGGGTGATACTTTCCTCCCACCTGCCAAAACCACAAAATATCCCATGAGGCAGACTTTTTCATGTATTAGGACCATTCAGATAACCAAGGTTATCAGGGGAGGAAAGAAGCCCCTACAGATTCTGATTCTTTGTCTCTCTTCCATCTCGTTGGTTCCAGGGACCGAGTGGGGTCAATCTTCTGGTGCTGCCTCTCCAGGTCTCTTCCAGGCTGGTCACAGACGCACTCCCTCCGAGGCTGACCGCTGGTTAGAAGAGGTGTCCAAAAGCGTCCGGGCTCAACAGCCCCAGGCCTCGGCTGCCCTTCTGCAGCCAGTTCTCCAGCCTCCTCCGCCCACTGCCGGCTCCCAGCCAGCTCCGCCTTTCCAAGGGAACGCGTTCCTCACCTCTCAGCCGGTGCCTGTGGGTGTTGTCCCGCCCCTGCAGCCAGCCTTTGTCCCTGCCCAGTCCTATCCTGTGGCCAATGGGATGCCCTACCCAGCCCCTAATGTGCCTGTAGTGGGCATCACCCCCTCCCAGATGGTAGCCAATGTGTTTGGCACTGCAGGCCACCCTCAGGCTGCCCACCCCCATCAGTCTCCCAGCCTGGCCAAGCAGCAGACATTCCCTCAGTATGAGCCAAGCAGTGCTACTGCCAGTCCCTTCTTTAAGCCGCCTGCTCAGCACCTCAATGGTTCTGCTTTCAATGGTGTAGATGATGGCAGGTTGGCCCCAGGAGACAAGCACACAGAGGCCCCTGCAGGCACCTGCCTGGTGGATCCTTTTGAAGCCCAGTGGGCTGCATTAGAGAGCAAGTCCAAGCAGCGCACCAACCCCTCCCCCACCAACCCTTTCTCCAGTGACTTACAGAAGACGTTTGAAATTGAACTTTAAGCGGTTCCCTTGCCTTAAAGTATTTTGTCCATACTTAGGCAAGGGCAGTGGGGTGGAGGTCAGAGGAGCAAAGGGGACTTTGTGTTCTCCATCAGTACTTTTCACTAATCCCAAAGGCCCCAGGGAGCATGTCTAAGCACAGAATGCTGTGAGGGGTGATTTTGAAAAAAGTGGAGAAAACCATTCCTAGAGAAGAGCTGTCTCAAAATTAGGTTGAAGAAGTCGAGGAAATGGTGCCCTCTGTCCCCCTCGTCCTCCCTCAGCCCTTTACGAATCTCTGGCAACAGGGAGGGAGAATTATCTGAACAGGAGTCTGTATTCAAAGCACATTTACTGGAATATAAAATAACGGGAAGCAAAACAATCTCCCTTTGCTTTTCAGGCTGTTCGCCTGCTCTCAGGACTGGCCTGAATTAGAGATCAAGAATCGGGTGGCGTGTGCCTAGGCTGGGAGCAGAGGCAGGCAGTCCCGCCAGACTGACAAGGAGGGCATGGCAGCAGCTGCCCAGCAGAGCTATATTTTAGGGGCAAAGTTGAGCTTCCATTTTGAGTAAGAATAAATATTATAAATATATATATCAAAAAGCCAAAATCTTTATTTTTATGCATTTAGAATATTTTAAATAGTTCTCAATATTAAAAAAAGGTGTATGAGTTGTAAGTAATCTTGCCAAAGGTAAAAGGGTTAGCTGTAAGAACTTGTACATAAGATTGATTTATCGTTGATGCCCACTGAAGTCAGAAGAGGAAAGGCTGGAAGCTGCAGGCGGGATCCCTAGCTTATTTGGTATCATTCATTGTAAGTAGCCCATTGCAACAACAATCATGCTTATGACCAATACAGTCATTAGGCTGTAGTTTTAAATGAAATGAAAGAGCAGTATTGTCCTGGTTTTAAACCTATGATGAAATTCTAATCTCACTATTTTAATGGAATCAATCTAAATGTACTCTATAGAGAATATGCATTTCTTTCACATGTTGCTGCAGTTTCCTTATGTTAATCCTTTAACACTAAGGTGACAATGACATAATCACATCCAGAGACAGGAACGCAGGTTACTGTGTTGGTTTGTCATAAGGGTCTTGGTGGGTTTTGTTTTGTCCTTTAAGTTTTGTTCCCGTGAACATTGTGGGGATGGAGATTCGGTTTTAGTAGCTACGTGTGTGTCCATCTGTCCCCCTCCCCTGTGGTGAGCAGAACATCCCATTGCCAGTTACAGCCACTTAACTTCTGGTAACAATGTGAGATTCCCATCTCATTTTTACTTTTGAACATTGGCCTTACAATCAAATGTAAGTTATATATATTTGTACTGATGAGAATTTATATGCTTTAACAAAAATAAATGTTCGTGGTAGAAGCTTTTGCCCATGACGGGCTGTTCTTTCCCCTTTTTGGTTTTGTACTCTCTCCATTGTACTTGCTAATCTCTGCTTTGGTGGCTAGAAAATCCTTCCTTGGGACTAGTAAATGTCTCAGATTCATGTTTGTATTCATACATTAGGTTTTGGTTGTTCCTAAGCACATCTCCAATATCAGATTCTTGCTGCTCCAAGTATGGTCTGGAATGGTAGTAGTATGGACTTCACCCACAAGCTGGTTAGAGATACAGAAATCAGACCTAGTTACCAGAATCCGCATTTAAGCAAGATACACATTCTGAGCAGTCCAGGGCTGGAGCAGTGATGCGCAACCTCAGATCCATATTAGAATCACTGGGGAGCTTTCAAAATCCTCATGCTGGTCCATACTCCAGGCCAGTTAAATCAAAATCTCTGGGGAGTGGAACTCCAGGTTCAGTTTCTGAAAAGCTCCCAATACGGAAGAGGACTACGAACTGCTGGGCTAGAGTGACTTGCTCTCACCTCAGCCTTACCCACTACTCTGACTAGTTCTAGGAAGAGATAGCTCATCTCAAACGTACCTTCTGAAGTATGTTTCCAGCTGGCTAAGTACTAGTTTAAAGAACTGGGGAGTCCAGGAAAGAGGCCCTTGTTTTCCAACTTCTGTAGCAAAACCAACCATGGTAAATGAAAGGGGATACTCCTCGATATTTTTTTAAATGGGAAGGAAGAAAAGCCCTCCGCCCTTAGCCAGTGTTTCCTTTGTGGAATGAGAGGTAGACTGAGCAGCACCACTCAGACATGACGCAGTTTGTCTTCAGCCAGCGTGCTGCAATAAGAGCCCCCCTTTTCTGAGAACACCTGTCATTTTGTGTTCCAGGATAATCTGTCACTAGGCCCAGCCGTCCTCTGGAGGGTTTGCAGAAAGTTGAAGGGACTGCCTGGGAAGTGCATTGAATCCAGGCCTGTTGTTTCAGCAATGAGGAATTGGAGGTTCTGAACTCAACCATTTCTGAAACCACTTTTTTTACATTGTTACCACTTCTTGTTATTACATTGCCCTCCCCTCCAGTGGTTCCCCCATTTTGCTGATGCTGTTTTTAATAACAGTCTGGTTTTATCTGGCAGCAAACATTTTGCTTCACAGATTCCTCTTGAGGAGAGACTCACTGGTTGCTGTACAGAGCAGGCCCATCACCTCCACACAGGGCGAGATGGTCCTCACTGCCAGGCTCTGCAGACCAGCCTCCAGAGAGCTTCGGGCTCAAGTTTCCCAAAGAAAGGAAGAAGCTTCTCCAGTTCTTTCATGCACAGATGATAATGTGACAACTGCTGCTCTTTGACCCCAAATCCCAACACTCTTGCATTACATTCCACTTTACTGAAACCTCTCACAAACATTCTGCCATTAACTGTATGGACAGATGGGACTCGAAGCTGGTTTCTCTGCTCCCTGGAAGGGTGAGAGGGACTGGAGCAACAGACCACTGTTAGGCCCCACTAGTTCTAGCAGAATCCTTTCCTAGCACAGCAGGCGTTCATGCCCCCCAATGAGATAGGTGTTAGCTTTGAAATCATTTCACACCTCCCCATCCAACTTTAAATGAAACAAGAACCCTGAGAGCTTGCTTTAAAGCATAGCGAACTGATCCTGTGACAGAAATTATAGAGGGAAGTTGTAAAGGCTGGCCTTTTCTAAGCAGATTCCTCTTCTTCACAACTCAGCAGCCACCGGTGGTTTTGTCAGAAATACAAACACTGCTGGGGACTGAGTGCGGCTGCGGCTCAACACTGGCTGGGGTTAAAAGGCCAGTGTCTCCAGAAGAGAACCCCCTTTGCCAGCCAGAGAGGGGAGACGACGAGTCCATTCCCCCTTCTCCCCAGCCCTGGAGTTGCTTCAAAACTGGGGCTGGAGGTGGCTGTCATCCCTGCTGCCAGATGGGCTGAGCGTGTGGCTGGGCGCGGGAGCAGCTGGAGCAGCAGAAGCTGGAGTAGTACTCGTTGCCACAGAGCTGGGCCTGCAGGACCAGAGCGCAGTTAGCCAGCTCCGGGTGGTCGGCGCACACCCTGGTGGGGCCCCTGGGCTGGCCGGCCTGTGCTGCAAAACAACGGGACAGGGGGACTGCTAAAGAAGCTCTGTGGCTGCTAAAAAGTCTCACCTCCCATTTCATTTCCTTCAAAGGGAAACAGCAGCAGAATTGGCAAATTCCAAAGTGCAGTTTCTCTAAACTTCTAACACCCGTGTGCACACCTGCACGAGGGACCACCATCTCCACCATCGTTGGCCTCACTCGGCACGCGGTGTGCACCTCTCCTCTCACTCCTGCAGCCGCAGCCTAGCACAGACTCCCAAACACTGCCTGACTGGACAGTTAGACATGTCTTGAAGTTAATTCCCTACCCTTACTACTGAGACCTGAAGGGCTGAGTGAAAACTGCCTTGACCTCTGGATTGGGAAGGAGAGAGTGTGAGCACCCGAAGTAACATTCTGAGTTGGCAAGGGCTGTCTCCTCACTGTTGGTTTCCTTCGCCTCAAAAGTTCTGTGCCTTCAATAGCCCCAGCTATTCTTAGTCACTCATTTCCCCATCTGTCCAAAATTTTTCCACTTCTCTGAGAGAAAGCAATGAGTATTAGGCAAGGTGATAGGAAAAGTCTTGTGAACTATGGTTCTAATACTATACTGATAACAGAGCAGTGGTTCCCTCCCCTTCTGAATTTACCAGAAGCTTCTGTACCTTAAAAACCCCTGTGAGGATTTCATTCTGCTGCTTCATCTTAGGACTGAAGTGGCCTTATCTGGTAACTTCCCTTTCTGGGAGGGGCTCTTATCCCTCAGCTTGGCTTAGCCTGAGTAGCACCTTTACTCAAGTCAGACCTCATGGGGCTGGGGAAGACTTAGCTTCACCCCCTCTGCCCTTGCTTTGCCCAGCTACAGCTAGAAGACCATACCTAACTGGTGAGTCACTTTATAAAGTTTGGGTATGTCTGTGTAACATTTATAAAAATAGCAAGCCATGTATGCATATTGTTTAAAACGATCAGTAACTTTGGTATATCAGCTGTTGCAGCCTCTGCACCCAGAGGTTAGGAGGCACTCAGCATTGCAGTCAAGCACACCAGCTCTGGAGCGAGACTGCCTGGGCACAGATCTGGCCCTCCTGCTTTGACAAGAGGGTCACCAGCTGGGTGACTTTGGGCAAGTTACTTGAGCTCTCTGTGCCTCTGTTTCCTCATCTGAAATAGAGATAATAGCATCTTGGGCACATAGTAACCAAGGCTAAAATTGGAGTGCTTAACTGTTTTTCCCCCATAACTCGCTCCCTGTCATTTAAAAAAGTAACTGACCACCTCCCATGTTTTATCCCTACAGTTATATTCTGTTTCTCACCCCAATCTTTTAAGCAGAAATGTTGAGAAATCCCCACAGAAGTGTGTTTCTTACCCCAGAGTGTGACTAGCTCAAAGCTCCCACACCTTGATGCTAACACTGTAATTCTAACGTCACCAAACCATGAATAGGGCAAAGGGAGGCAGCCTCAAGCTCCGAGACCCTCCAAAAAGCATAGATGGTGAGAACAGGTACCTGAAGCCTCGTCAATAGAATGAACACAGAGTAAGTAGGGAGGCAGCTTCTAGTCAAGAAAGGCACCCCCCCCAAAACACCCATCCTAGCAGAGGGCAGGAGACAAGTGGTCTGAGACCATCAGCCTCCTGTCCAGGAGGCAGGCCACATCAGACCACTTCAGCTTGGTGGCCACACACCATTGGGAGCCCCAGCAGGCTGTGACTACATGAGCTTGGTTATAATTTGTTTCCCATGGAGACACGTCTATAGCCAATCACAAACATGACCTGGGCCCTCCTAACTGCTCGCTTGCTCCCATAAATCAGCATTCTAGTTTGTCCCATCTTGTAAGTTTGGTTAGTATGTAGGCAAGAGGTCAGTTTAGTGGGCATGACAATTGAAGAGTAGCCTCTGTGGTATGGTTCTTTCACCAAGGTCATGTCCTCATGCATGCATGCACCCAGTCATCAAGTACCTGTGCACCTACTGATGCCAAGCTCTGGGCTGGTCCCTGGGAACACGAGTCCCAGTCGCTGTCCTGAGGTGCTCACACACTGGAAGCCTACGTGCCAGTCTGACTCACTGAGCAATGTCCCTACCACAGACCTTCAGTCTGGCAGCCAGGAGGCCGCCAGGTCCGACACCCTGTGTATAAGTGCTCCTCGGGGTGCACTGCAGCTCCCATAGTTGCGAATGTCCAGGCGAACCAGCACAGGAAGGGCCCTGGCACATTCTCCCCTGGATCTGCTTAGGCCCCATGTGAACCATCTGCTCAATCTGGGGCACTACTGTGCTGTGCAGGCAGGCAATGAACCTGGACCAAGGAGCTGTGGGGAGGCCCACTGGGCAGAGGACAGAGCTCTCCCCCTTCCTTCCCTCTTGCTTATTTGAATATGGAGCTCTTGTGAGTTTCAACACTAAACCACAGTCTATTTCATCAATTCTGAGATACACTTTCCATATTTTAAAACCTCTCAAACTGGACTGCATCTTAATTGGCAAGTTCTTAGCATTGTGTCCTTTAACTGACAGCATTATTTTCTTAGTGGTATGAAAACAATAATGCGTCTTACAATATGGCATATTTGTTGAAATAGGACAACTCAAAGAGCAAGAGCTAAAGAACATAAGGCTAAAATACCAGTATTACTAAATAGTGAAAGTAAAATTCCACCCCTGACGGGTGTAATCATTTGATGAAAAGAGCATTAAATAGGAAGAGTTAAAAGACCTAGGCTCTAGCCTGCGCAGTCATTCTGCAGCATAAGCCAGCTCTCAGAACAAGCAAAAGCCTGGGCAGGCCTTTCCCACCTGGCGGGGCCACCTTCACCTCGGTGCTGCGGCTGACTGCCTGGCTTCCACGATAGGCACTGCATGTGTAGGAGCCCTCGTCCCTGGCCCTGAGGTTGTGGATCAGCAGTGTGCCGTCTGGGGACTGGTGGACACGGCCATCGGCCTGCAGCGGCAGCCCATTCCTGGAGGGGAGAGGACACCGGGAGAGCTGGGCAGGGCCTCTGGTCTTCGGGCCCTGGGAGACAGGGAGGAGGTAATCAGAGACCATTCCACAGCCAGCTCCTCCTCCCTTGTGGACAGTCTGCAGAGGGAAGAGGTGGGACCAGAGACCAAAAAGATGGAACATTATCACAGCAAAGTAACTCAGGACTCACAGAACTCAGCCCAGTGATCTAAATTTTTTGAAAGTTTGCCTCTTACTATAAAGAGGTCCTGTTCTCACTTTTCATTAACAAAGGTCTTTCAAGCAGCCATGAGGTGCCAGGCCCTCTGCCTGATGAGCCACAGAAGCACTCCCTGCCTCCAGGCCACTAGGGTGGGGGTGCAGGTGTCTAGGGGACCCTTCCCTGAGGCAGACCGCCGGCCGAGACCTCACCTGAGGATAAGGCAGCCGCTGGCTGACAGAAGAACATGGGGACTCAGGAGCTGGAAGGCCGGTGCCGCCCAGAGCCAGGAGCGTGAGCCAGCCAGCTGCCTACGTGGCTCTGGCTGGGAGTCTGAATTGGACCCTGGCTAAGGAAGGGGTGTGTGCCGAGCAGGACTGACAGGGACATGGCCTTTGCACTTTGAAAGGACCACTGACTGCTGGGGGGCAGGCCTGGGTGCACAGACCAGGTAAATGGCTGCCGCAGTGGTGCACACATGCAGGAAAGTAAGGGGCTTCTAGCTTAGGTCCTGGGTGCTGGTGGTGCCCCTCCATGCGATGACGGATGAGTGGTGAGTTATTTTCCACCATCTTGCACTTAGGGTGCCTGTGAGATACCAGGAGGCGCTGGAGGTCTGGACCCAGACAGTGTGTCAGTACTGATGTAACATCAGAAGCCACGTGTCTATGAAGTTGTCCAAGGTGACTTTAGAGTAACTGGGGACCAAGGACTTCAGGAACTGCAGGTCTGCGGAGACTGAGATGTGTCCAGAGGACACAGGAATTAGGAGGTCGCTGGTGGCCGTGGCCAGGGCAGTATCCCTGGGCGGGGGCAGATGTGAGGCCCTAGTGCAGGGCCTGAGCTCTAAGCAGGGAAAGCAAACAGGTGGGGACAGCCAGCGTAAACTGGTTCTGTTGGGGGGGCACTGCCACAGGCTAGGCCCACAGGAAGTGCAGGGCCAGAGGAGGGTTGTTTTGGTTTGTTTTGTTTTGAAGAGGGTAATTTGCTGCTGGGAAAATCCAAGTGAGACACAGCTGAACAGGCAGGCCTGGCAGGATAAGGAGAGCCCCAGCCCGAGGAGGGCAGGGCTGGACAAAGAGCACCCCTGAGAAGCCTGCACAGGCCCCCTGCTGCCTTCCCCTCGGGCAGCAAGGCCACACTGGGGGCAGCAGCCTCTGCAGCCCCTGTCCTCCCCTCCAGCGGGCAGGCCACCCCCACCCTGACATCATCTCTCAAATACCCACCTTTGTGGCTTGACCAAGAACATCCCCTCCTCGGCCTTCAGGGCCAGCCTGGGGCCCCTCCATGGCCGCCCCTCCTTGATTCTCCCAGACAGGAAACAGCCTCAGCTCCATGCACAGATGGCACTTAGGGGAGAGCCTTCTCTGGAGTTCAGGGAGTGCTGGGCCCATCTCCTGCCTGGAAGTATCCAGGGGGCTCAGACTGTCCCAGGATTCCCAGAGCCTAGCCTAGTCCTGACACATTGCAAGGAAGACCAGGGCAAAAAAAATGTTTGCTGAATGAATAAGACCGACTGATCTGGAGTAAAGAAACCGCTGAAGTCTCCAAAGTTGAGTGTGACCCAGTGCTTCTCAACCCCAGGGGCGACTGTTCCACCCGGGGGACCGGTGGCAACATCTGGAGGCATCTCTTACATCATGACTTGGGAGCAAGTGCTACTGGCCTCTAGTGGGTAGATGGCCTAGCTGCTGCCGACCACCACAGGACAATCCCCACAACCAAAACTTCTCAGGTCCAAGATGCCAGTAGCCCTGAGGTTGAGAAACCCTCATGTTGCCCAGCCAGCAGAAAAAAGAGCAGCCTTATGGGACCTCGTCTTGCAGGAGGTGGGGCTGCAGGCCTTCCCCTGGCACCAGGTCTGGAGGCAGGGGCAAAAGAATGAGCGGTGAGGCAGCCCCCCTCTGGGCGGCACAGCCTCGGGTGAGGGCCTGAGGGCCAGGCCTGCCTGGAATAGAGCCTTACCTGGACCATCTGACGTTCACGCTTTCTCCTGCCACCACACACAGCAGCCTGGCCGTGTCCCCCTCTGGCACCGTCACAGTAGAGGGCAGCCCTGTGATCGTCAGCTCCCCTGGGCCCAAGGAGGAGGCACCATTCAGCCACTATGCTGAGCCTCTACTCCTGGGCCACCTGACCTCAGAGGCCGCTGGCCCCACTCACCCTTCCGCTCAGGACTGCCCCCTTACCCAGAACTCTGAGCTGGACCCATCGCTGGTCTCGGTCCTGCCCGTTGAATGCGACACAGGCGTAGAAGCCACCGTCTTCCACAGCCACAGGGCTGATGACCAGGGAGCCATCGGGCTGCAGCTGGTACCTGGGGAGCAAGCAGTCAGGTGGCTCCATCCCAGGGGTCTGGCACGGGCCACGGGTGAGGCAGGGTCTCTTTCCCTGGTGAGAGGCTGACTGGCCCCTGCTGTTCAGCAGGGTCTGACAAAATGCCCACATCCTTTGGCTCCTAGGGCCTCCAGCCACTCTCATTTACTCAGAGGTGCCTGACTTAAAAAGCCTGCCAAATCATTTCACATTTTCTGACACAAAATAATTCTGGTTTGGGTTTCTAGTTTTCACTGTACTTGTTCAGAGGCTTAAATCCTGGTTCTGCCACCTAGGAGCTGTGTAGTATTAAGCTTCTGTACATAAAATGGGGGATAAAATAGCTCCCACCTCAATGTAGCTCTTCCAGAGGTTGTATGACACAGAACAAGCCCCACAATCTCAGTATGGGCTCAATAAATATCAGTTGTTATGATTGCAGCCGGAAGTGTGTCTGCCTCCATTTTGTCCCTCAGCCACTCCCTCTTTTAGCTGGCCTGTTCCTTCTGTCCACTAACCATGCTCTGGAAAGGCCCAGAGCCCAGCAGCCCCACCTCTCAAGACTCCCTTGGGTCCTGCTTGAGACTGAGCAGAGCCACAGGCCACAGCAGGGAAGGGCACAGGGCAGAAGGGCAAGGCACTGAGCAAACCTGCCGGAGGACAGAGGCTGCCCGTTTCTCTGCCACTCCATGGTGGGCCGTGGGAAGCCCTCAGCACGACAGACCAACCGGATGCGCTGGCCCGGATGGGCGTCCACCACCCCAGGCTGGTTCCGGTCCAGACGCAGCCTGCAGAACGAGCACCCACAGCCATGGGAGTTCCCTGCCACTGCGTCCTCCGCACCCTGCCTGTGGACGGGACCTCAGCACAAGCCTCAGAGCCCCCTCCTCTCCAGCCAGCTGCAGCTTCCTAAATAACCCCTTTGTTCTGGTCAGGACCCCCATTAACTACCTGGGGCAGAGTCCACTAGCTTCTCTGGCTTTCTCACCTCCCCTGGCTCTGGATCTCTGACTGTCCCTGTCCTGCTCATCTGCCACTATGGGGCCGGAGCCCCCCGCAGCCCTCTGCACCCCCTCTGTAAACTGGACCGTCGTCTTCAAGGCCCTCGCAGGCCCTCTCCATCCCGGGGGCCTTCCCTCCCCTCAGCTCCTGAGTCCCAGGCCATGGACCTGCACCCCTCCAACTGTTTGGGGAAGGGGCCTCTGCTTCCTCAAGAGGCCTGGCTCAGGAGCCACGTGTTCCTAATCCTCAGCCCACAGAGCCCCGAGCAGGGGCCAGAGAGCCTGGTCACAGCACACGCAGGCCTGGGGACCCATTTACCTTCCCCCCAGCCACTGAGACATGGACCCTGGCCCTCAGGTGGGGGAGGCTGAGAGCAGTATGGCACTGCCACACTGGTACCTGACCGTGGGCCGTGGGTATGAGGAGGAGATGGCCCCCAGGCCCCCAGCATCCCCCCCGAGGCTGGAGTCTCGAGAACTGTGGCCCCAGGCTGGGGTCCCGGGCTGAGGGAAGTGCCTTGGCTCAATCTCAGCCAGCACGGCTGTGTCACCTCCTGTCACAGGCCAGGGGAAGCAAGAGGTGAGCTGCGGGGAGAAAGGGGCAGAGGGAAGGGTGGGCCATGAGGCTGGCGGGGGAAATGTGGAGAAACAAGGGCCACAGGGGCAAGACATCCATCCAGACCAACTGGAGCCCCTGGCCCAGTCCCTCCCACCCTGGGGCCGCAAGAGCCTATTGTGGTGGGGGGTGGGGAGGGCAGAGGCCTGAGATTTGAAGCCGGATCTTCTGAGAGTCACGGCCTGGCCTGGTGCCGCCGCAGCTGTAGGTGCCAGCATCCTCGGCCCGCAGGGGACTGATGACCAGGGAGCCATCGGGCTGCAGCTTGTGCCTGAATCAAGGGGGTGGGGGCTTGAGCACCGGGCTCCTGAGGAAAACGATGAACCCAGATCCCGGCCCAGCCTCAGAGCTCCTGGCAGAGGAAACTGTAGGCCGCCCACCCTCCCATCCCAAGGGAGATACCTGTCAGAGGACACAGGCTGTCCATCTTTCTGCCACCTGGCGTGGGGGTCCAGGGAGGCGTCATCTGGGCAGAACAGCTGCGCCAACTGCCCCAGGGCTGCCTGCACCAGAGCAGGCTCCACGCCTGCCGAGCTAGTCCTGGACAGGAGGGAAGTGAGGACCTGACACTGCCAGCATGAATGCCAGAACCAGGACCGGCCCTTCATCACCGCGTTGGGCCGGGGGTGGGGGGGGGCATGGAGGCCACGCTCCAGAAGCCCACGGGCTCAGGAGTCCTCCCTCCCCCAGCTCCCGGCACACCCCAAGCACCACTATGTCCCCCTCACCTGGCGGCAGCAGGGCAGGCTCAAAGCCCACGGATGCAGAGGTTGGGGGCACAGAGTGCATGCCAGGTTTGTGTGGCAGACTTAACCCCTTCAGAATTTAAAATTTTGTCTTGTTTCTAATATTCCCAAATCATTAATATGATACCATTGCAGGAGTAATAACAAATGGAACCCACTGTAAACCTGTAAGATACTATCACCATTTTACAGGTCAAGAAACTAAGGCCTTAAGAAATCGGATGACTTGTCAAACATCATGAAGCCCATAAGTTTTTCCAACTAGACAGGCCCGGGGTACACTGGGCTGCTCTGTGGATAAATCCAGGCACCACCATCCATCTAGTGCCTGCCTGACCTCCCGCAAGTCTCCCATCTCTGAAACCTGAGGTTCTGCAGCTGTAGAATGAAGGTAAAAAGACCCTGCAGGCAGGGCTGTTGAGAGGATTTAAGGTGGAGATGGCAGGGCTGGCTGACCTCAGGGTTTTAGCTCTAACAGGCTCAACGGAGGTTCTGGGTTGCTATCCCCCTACCTGGGGAAGGCGGGTCTCACCTGTGAGAGGGGCTGTGGGAGGGTGGTGCTGGCTCCCGGGGGTCTCCACCCAGTCGAGGGGCACTGGGCCCAAGCTCCTGGACCTGGGGCTGTTCTCCGAAGACCTGGGCGTGGTATGCCTCCCCTGGCCCAGGCTCTTGGTCTCGCCACCGGAGGCCATCAGAAGGAAGGGGCTGTCTCTGGACTGTGGCCCCTGTCCTGTGCCGGCTGGCCTCCTGCTGGCCTCCAGGACTGCTGCTACCACCATCTCTGTGGGTGCTCTGGCCAGAGGCTCCAGGCCCAGGTCGGCGCGGCCCATGTTGAGGCCCCCGGCAACTACTCATGCACTCCTCCTCCGAGGCGAAGTTATTGGCATTGCCATGGCAGCCACCATACCAGAAGCGGTTACACTGGCCCACAGAGGCAACGAAGTACCAGTGGGCAGCCCAGTCTGTGCAGGAGCCATGGGCACTGGGCAGCAGGCACTGCACAGGGTATGCTGAGGGGAGGGAGCATGCACGTCACCACGGTGTCCGGCAATAAATCTGCAAATGCTGCCTGGCAGAGCCCAGCAAGCAGCACCCACCATCTCCTCAGCCTCGGAGACTTAGGGAAGAGGCCCTTCCCAGTTGATGGGGCACATCTACACCCCGGCCTGGGCCCCTGACCTGGCCCTGGGGGCAGAGTCTGTTCACTGCGCAGGTCTGCCCTGGGCTGGGAGCACAGCAGTCTCCAGAATCAGCCCTGTCCAACTCCACCCACGGACTAGAGCCCTCCAGAAGGTCAGGGCGGTGAGCTCCCTGGCTGGCTGCCCGATGCCCCTCCCTATCCCTGACCAGGCTCCCGAGTACACGCACAGAGCAACCCAAAGGCTTGACCTCGACCTGCTTAGCTCATGATAAGGGCCCAGTGCTGAGCTCACGGGGGCCTGCAAGGATGTCCAATGAGAGGCTGCCTTGTTCCAGGGCCCTTTGCCTGCCTCTGAATGCGCCTTCAGCTCTCAGCCTGCTCATCCATCAGCCCTCCTCCCAGCACAGCTTGCTCTACCTCTACACTCAGATGTGACGATGCAGGCCCCTGCTTGAAGTCCAGCCTCCTGCAGACCTGATCATCAGCCCATCAGTCTGTAGATGTCCCCATGACGGTCCCCAGCAGCTCCAGCCTCCAGGACACACCCCCAGGCAGGGGGCAGACACCCCAGTCCGTCCCTGCACCGGCTGCCCTATACCACCTCATGCAGCCTCCAGGGGTGGGATGAGCCTTCCTTCTGCATAGGATCCCCACCTATACCTCTCCCCAATTCTCCAAGTAGCCAGGCAGCCTCAAGGGCAAATGGTTGGGAACAAGAACAAGCTGGCATCTAGTAGGCAATCAATAAATATTTGTGGAAGAAATGAGTGAATAACTGAAGCCGGTATGAAGGTTTTGGCTCTGTGGAGAGGTTGGGGACACAGTGGGACCAGAGCCTACCCACTCACCATAGCTGGGCTGGCCTACACAGCCTTCCCCATGTGGGCCAGCTGCTGAGGCCACGTTGTCATAGCAACAGCCAAACTGGGAGTCCCGACACCCACTGGGCTCATTCTGCCGGGCCTGAGGGGTCTGGGGAGGAAGCCCAGAGTTGCGAAGTTGGGAAGAGGTCTGGTTCTTGGTGGGGACTCCAGGCTGCCTGGGGGAGGGTGGCAGGAAGAGGGTGGGACAGAACTGGCCCCAACCCTAGAGGGTGATCAAGGGCCAGGAGAACTCCAGTGAACCCCCCACCCCAGCCCAGCCCCAGCCCTGGAGCCCTGTGCCCTGGAGAGGATGGCCCAGGCCAGCAGGCTGCAGGGACTGCCTCTCTCCAAGGCCAAGACTGCAGACAGCATGGGTCACGGTGGCAGTGAGCACGCTCTGGCATGAGCAGACACTTACTGTGGAAGCCGCTGCTCTGGGCCCTGTCCTGCTCCCTGTGGTATCGCCATCGTAAGACCTTGCACAGCCAGCTTGCTGGGGCCCGTAAGCCACAGACACCCCATCAGGGCAGCATCCATACCTAAACAGACGTCACTCAGCAACCCTCTCACCACCTTTCCCAGGACCCTGAGCTGTCGGCATCCCAGGACACAGGCTCTCAGGCTCCCTGTGCTGGGTGCTGGCCAGGTGAGGATCTGAGTGGGGGCCAGCATGTCCCTGCAGGCGGGGCACCTCCTAGTCTCTGCCACTTCCCCCTACCACTTTGTGGCTGGCAGAGGTGGGGTATGGGGCAATAGTGACACAATAGGCCGAGCAGTGCCCCTAATAACTGGCAAAGTGACACATCCCAGCACCAAACCAAGGATGCAGAGAGTCTCCTGAGCCCCCCAAGCACCAGGGTCCAAGGGGGTTTTACAAAACAGCAGCAGGTGGGAGATGGGGCAGAAAGAACGCCAAAGTGTCCCACCACTAATTTCACCTCCAGCAATCAGCAGCTGGGAGGGAAGGTGAAGGAAAACAATATACCAAAGCCCCTTTCTGGTCACTATGGGTGCTCACAGCAACCCCAGCCAGCCACCCTGTTCCCGAGTCTCAGCCAAGACCAGAGAGTAACTTGCCCGCAGGTACCCAGCACATTGCTGGCGGGGGCTGAGCTGAGAATTCCCTGCAGGCCGCTAGCCTCAAAGTCTGAGCCGTTAAGCATCCCAGCCTCTGAGAACTAGAATCATTCCCCATGTGCCCTCCCAGGGCCTCAGGCTGCATCTCAACAGGGCAACTGCTGCAGTGAAGCAGGATTTCTACCTGGCTCTGCACAGTGCAAGCTCCATGAGATAAAGGCAGGTCCTCAAGGTTGTCCAATCAGGGCACCCCTCCCAGTCCCATCCTGACCCCCTGCAAACCCCTCTCTGTCCCACCCACTGCACCACGTCCCTCCTCATGTTCCCTCCTGACCTGGTGAGGGGGAAGGGGCACCCACCTGCTCTGCTGACACGAGGCGCCAGGACACCCTTGCCACTGTGGCCCAAGAGATGCAGTGTGGCCATCAGGGCAACACCCATGGGGGCTGTGTCTGCAGTCCCAGGGCATGGAGCCAGCCTGCAGGGGCTGCCGGTGTGGGGACTGCTGCAGGGAGGGGCCTGGGCCTGGGGCTGGTGGGTGGGGGCCCTGGTCTCCTCGGAGGTTACCCTGGGCTGAGGGCTGCTTCTGGGGTGCCCACCACTGGTTTCTGGACTCTAGAAAGAAGAGGAAGCAAGAAGACACACCATGTGTCTGCCTGACTCCTCATCCTCCAGCTGTATTCCACATCAGACCCACCCTTCTCCCTCCTCACTGAGCCCCTCGTCCCCACCCTCAACCTCCATCTCCATCTCCATCTCCAGGGCCCAGGGTTGTGGGCTTACCATAAGCTCCTCACCTGAGGCAGGGGTCTCCTGAGAGCCCAAAGACATCCAGGGGACCCTGGAGCTGGTGTGCATGGCCTGCATGCTGGGGACTTCTGCAGGGAGCCAGGCAGCCAGGGTGAAGTGCAGAGGGAAGAAGGAGAGGAGAGGAATGGGCCCAAGCGGTGGCCAGGCCTCACCAACGTTTGCTCCCACCCCACTGCTCAGCTAGGGCCTAGGGAACCCAGGACAGCAGAAGTGAAAATCAGCAGATCTGTGATTTTGTAAACCATCTTTCCCATGTTTTAAGAATCTTTAATCATATAGAAAATGCTAATATTACATGTTTAGCCAAAAGAAAAGCCAGATATGAAATTAGTATCTATGTTTGACCCCAACTACATAAAACAAACAAAAAATTATATTTTTAAAATTAGACTGGTGAAAACACAATCCAATTTAAAAATGGGCAAAGAACTTGAACAGAAACTTCTCCAAAGAAGATATACAAATGGCCAGCAAGCACATGAAAAGATGCTCAACATCCCTGGTCATCAAAGAAATACAACAAGCTATCGCTTCGCTTCCAGTAGGGATGATTCTAGTAAAAAAGACTGAGTGTTGGGTGAGGATGCGGACAGACTGTAACCCTCTCACCCTGCTAGGGAGAATGTGAAATGCTGCAGCCACTGTGAAAACAGCTTAGCAGTTCCTCAAAAAGTTAGAGTTACATTTGGCCCAGCAACGCCACTCCTACATATATACCCAGGAGAAACGGAAACATAGGTCTACACAGAAACTTGTACATGAATGTTTGTAGCAACATAATGCATTGTAACCAAACGGTGGGGACCACCCAGACATCCAGCAACAGATAAATGGGAACCAAGTGTGGTATATCCACATAGTTGAATGTTGTCCCATCATAAAGGGAAGTCCTGATGCATACCACAACTTGGACAAACCTTAAAAGCACGCTGCTAAGTGAAAGAAAGTAGTCTCGACAGGCCTACCATTCCTTGTACATGACAGATCCAGAAGTGGCAAATGCAGAGAGAGAGGAGACCTCGTGGCTGCACAACGTTGTCAACCCTCCCAATAACATCAAACTGCACACTTTAAAATGGTTAACTGTATATTTGAATTTTTTAATTAAAACATTGCATCTTAAAAATAAGAGAATTGATAGATGAAGGGATAGAATAGATAATGAAAAAGCAAAAAATAAAAATGGTAGAATTTAGATGGTAGAAGGTTGCTCACACATAATTCTTCAACTTTTCTGTATGTTTAAAATATTCACCAACTTGTTATCCAACTTACCAAATTTGCTAAAAATCACAAACTGTACCATAATTAGAATGGGTGGGTTTTATGGTTTAAGATATTTAATCCCTTCAACGCAGTTATTAAGAAGATGAAACTTTTCATCATGAAATGCTGGAGAAAAAAAACGCAAGAGGCTGAGTGGAGAAAATCAGGACCACAGGAATTTTTTTAGTAATGCATAGAAGATGGCTTGCAGGACACACCCCAAAAAGCTCAGGAAGTCTCTGAGGGCTTCAGATGTGTGTGTGTTAGGTGGGGGTGGTGGGTTCCTTCCTTCTATTTGTTAATGTTTTTCAGGTTTTCCATGATAAGCATATAACTACGTAATGGAATAGTAAGTGAAAATTCCCTTACCATATGGACTACATCTTGCCAGTCCCCAGGGAATATTGTTAAAATAACAATATAGGGTCAGAAGACTCCAGCATATATGCAGTCAAAATTTCGTTTCATTTTATTGCCTAACTCACCCAGGCCAAAACCTCGGAGAAGTCCGACAGTTCTCCCCGGCCTGTCACTCCTACCCACGTTCCCGGGCCGGCCCTCACAACCCCCCGCCAGCCTGGGGGTCCCGGCCTGCTCCCTCTCTGCTGCCTCAACTTGGAGGCGCCCTCTCCGCTGCCAAGCCCAGCCTGCCTCCCGTGACTCTTCTCTTCCCTCTTCGCAGGCTTCCCTGAGTCCGGGGCTCCTTCGCACACATCCCCCGGACAGCAGCACCGGCCCCATCATCTCTGTGGCTTTCGCTGGCATTTGGGTTTCTGCAGCCTGCTCCCCACCCATCTCCCTGTCTCCACTTCAGTCTGACTCTGAGGCAGGTGCCAAATTTGTCCTCCTAAGTAGCTTTCTTGGTGTCACTGTCTAGCTCCAAGGCTTTCATGGCTTCCCTGGGCTTCTTAGACAAAGTATCTGAAGCCCGTGGCCGGTTCTGGGGCCCCTCCTAGTCCCAGAGCTCCTGAGCACCTGACAAGAGGCCAAAGGGACTGAGAAACTGGGTTATAAATTTTACTTAATTAGAATGAATTTTAAATCTAACAGCTGATGCTAGAATTCATTTGTTGGAAAACAACTGCAGTATGTCTGGAACAATTTGGGTATATGAATCTACTTTTTCAACTGTACATTTTATGAAGTCTAAATACTGATCAAGTACACCAGTGAAATGTTAGCCTCTGAACTGAGATATGCTCTAAGTGTTATATGCTGGAGTTCGAAGATTCAACTTTTCTAAAAATCTTCTGAAAAAGAGTATAAAATATCCCACTCATAATTATTATATTGATTACATGTTGCAAACATTTTATTGGGTTAATTAAAATGTATTATTAAATATAAATCCTCTTGTTTCTTTTTACTTTGGCAATGTGGCTGTTAGAAAATGTCACATGACATGTAGCCTGCACTCTATTTCTGTTGGCAGGCACTGCTCTAGAGTCTAGAGTTGGCAAGAGAAGTGGCAGTGGTGCCCATGGTCTGTCACTCGGACAACCCTCCAGGGGGGCCTCCTTGTCAGCCCCCGGGCCCCTCCTCCCAGGCATTTGCCAGTATGCATTGCAGTATTAGTTACAGCACCCAAACCACCAGAAACCACCTAAATCCTAAATCTCACCCATTGTGGCCCCTAGAAATCGTGAGACTGGAGAATGTCCACATACCAAATGGCATTACAGAAAAAGCAGATACAAAATCACACATATTCCAAGGAGCACACTGAAGATTCATCCCACTAATGGATGGATCAGGGACAACTTGAGTTTCTCTCTACATACTACTTTTCCAATTCTCCAAATTTTCTACAATGTACATATGTTATTTTTATAATTATAAAAATAACAATGAAGCTTCTCTCCTTTACAACTCAGCTGACCTGAAATTCTCTTTCCATTTTCTTTCTTTCTTCCCCATGTGAATGCCTCTCCGGGGTACTTGCAGTGCTACCACTTCCAGGAAGCTGTCCAGGGTCCTGGGACACTGAGCGACCCCAGGGACCTGAACTTGTAAGAGCCTGAGGACCCTCTGCTCATGCACCTCAAGGGCCAAGCCCGGGGAACCCCTCACGGCCTCACCACCACTATTCCCGACCCTTTGCTTGTCAAGCAGTGTGTTCAGACACTGTGCCAAATGACTCACCACAAGCCAGAGAGTCACTTCTATTCGCCCCCTCGAGTGGATGGGCAAACTGAGAGTCAGAAAGGAGAGGCACTCGCCTGCTGCCACAGGGCCTGTCGGCCATGGAGTGATCAGAACCCAAATCAGCTGCGGACCCCAGGTCGTGGGTCCCTAGCCACCCTGCCATGTGCCCCCACCGGAATCCTATCACTCCCCAGCACGACTTCCTGGGCCCCTGCCACTAGCAGCCCATCAGGGCCAGACACACCCCTCTGGAGCATCAGAAGGGCCCCCCAACCCAGCTCAGCCCCAACCCCATCTTATCTGAAGATCACATGCTCACAACAAGCAAGCGCTCACTGGAGCAACTCATGCAGGAACACTTTCTTTCCTGGGGCAATGGGGAGAAGGGCAAGGGGAAGACAGAGGCAGGAGGGGTGTGTGAGTGCAATCTTTCCTGGAGCATTCTTCCCCTGCACTCACTCAGTCACTTAATAAATAAGTTCTGTGAGGGGTATAAACAGGAATAAGGAAGTCAGGGAGCTTACAGCTAGGAGGCCTAACAAGCCATGTACAGCCACTCAGCCCAGGAACCTAACCTAGAAATGACAGCAGTTTCAGTCAGCTATGGGGGTGGGGTAGGAGATGCCACCTGGGGGTGGGGGATGGGGAGCAAGGTGCTTATGAGGTTGCACAGAATTGGCCTTTACAAGTGGCAGAGGTTTCAGCAGACAGAGACACAGAAGAGAGGTCCAGGTGGCTGACAGGCTGGTGGTGTGGGGGCAAGGGGGCAAAGGCCCTGAGGCAGGAAGTGCTTGGCTAGTTTTGTAGCAGGAAAGAAGTCACCAGGCTCTGCCCTCTTGTCCTTACCTGGAGGGAGGTGGCAGGGCTGTGTGTTACAGTGCTCCACCTCCACAGGCTTTGGCAGCTGCCGACTCCTGCAATGGCTGGGCAGCGCAGTGGCACAGACGACCTGGCGCCTCCGAGTGCCTGAGTTGCAGCTCCTGGAGCACTGGTGGGGTGGGTACGGGGAGAGAACACAGGCACAGGGGACAGGCCTGAGGCTCGGGGTGAGGATGAGGGTGCCCAGCAGGGAGGGGAAGGGCCTGTAACACACTCAGCCCCAAGGACCTGCACGCATTCAGCCACCTGCCAGAGACCCAAGGGGACCGGACCAGGCAGTGGGGGTTGTGTGGCAAGTACTCACTAGACCCCAGGCGCCTACATGCCAGGCCTGGTCACTGATGGGGGCACAGGTGTCACGCAAACAGGGCTCAGTTAGGAGGGGCGGGTCCTCCAAGGAGCATGCTGTGGCATGGAGCAGAGCCCCCTGGTCACTCCGGCATGTGACACTCCGCCTCCGGACGCCAGCACCGCAGCTGACGGAGCACTGCAAGGAGCCAGCTGTCAGTAGAGCTCATCCTCACCCAGAGGAGCCTGCTGGGTTAGACAGCTGGAGACCCACTGACCCAGCATGGAGGGCGGATAGCACCCTGCAGCCCATGTCCAGCGCCTGGGCCCAGAGAGGCTGAGTCACTCTCCCAAGGTCACACAGCCTGAACCATGGCTTCTGACACCAGGCTGAGGTGCATTTCCCACATTTCCTTATTTGCAGTTTGTACATATGTAGATGCTGGACACAGTGACCAGCAGCCCCAGAAGGTGCCAGCTCCTCCCTCACCCCCAAAAATGTGCCCAGTGGTGGCTTCATGCCAAGGCAAAGCCTTTCCCATCCTGCCCAAGATCCAAGAGGAGGAAGAGCACTGGCGCAGGAGTCCTGGCTTGGCCTCAGCTTCCAAGATAACCCAGAAGGTCTCTTTACCTACCAGGATCTATTTCAGCAGCAGAGGACGAGAGTCCTGTCCTGCTGCTGCCCCAGGCCCAGAGCCAGCTCCTGATTCCAGCCCGGTCCAGGCAGGGGCCTCACCTCTCCCCAGGGCTCCGCACTCCAGGCTGCACAGCGCTGCAGGTTGCAAGCCTGCATGGTGGGGGGCTTCCCAGGAAGGTCTGCACACTCGGCCTCCTCAGTGGCCTCCTGGATGCTGGCCCCATTGGATGAGATGCAGTAGACCGAGCGGGACTGGGAGCCGCCTCCACAGGAGGCTGAGCAGGGCGCCCAGGGACCCGTCTTCCAGCTGGCAGGGAGCAGGAATCTGGTGAGACTGGCCCAGCAGCAGGGGCCCAAGCTCGTACACACAGAGCAGACTGGTGACCCCCCGTAGCTCGGCCCAACCTCTAAACATCTGGGCCTGTGCAAATGGGGGGCAAAGAGCTCTGCCCAAGGCCAAGAGGCCGGCTCTGCTGGCCAGCTCCCAACACCATGCACTGGTCCCTACAATGACGAGCCTGGCTGTCCCCCTCTCAGCTTGCTGTCCTCATCTGAACCCCCTCTTTCTCCTTCTCTTCAGGTTCTCTGTCACCCCCAGCCAGATTCCATTCCCTCCAGGTCCAACCTCAGTTGGGGGTGTCTCCCGGAGGACTGTGCTCACCCACATGTGGAGCATCCTGCCCAGCCTGGGACCCAAGGACCCGTGGAAAGGGCAGCACCCACACCATGCAAAGCCAAGCCCACCACCATTTGGCGAGGCCAGCTACCACCAAGGCCACGGGGTGGAAGGACTGTACAAGCTCTGCAGGGAGCCCGTGGCCTGCAGATTACCTGCTCCCACACACAGGCTGGGCCCCAGCAAGGCGCCACACTCTGGGCCGGCGCAGGTAAGAGGTCCTTTATGCACAAACAAAGGCACTGCTGATGCCGCAGGCCCTCTGGCCCAATGCCCAGCCCACTCATCGGTATCTGCCAAGCCAAGTCCCCTGCGGGCTCAGACAGGCAGGGCCTCCAGTGCCTTCTCCCCACTCCACCACCAGCCTGAACATTCTGGGCACACGAGGGTAGACAGACTAGCCTAGGTGTGTCTGGCTTAGACCTCTCCAGTGCCTCCCCTAGTGACAGCTGCCTCCTCACTCTAGCCACAGTGGTGGGAACCCTGGGTCAACTCTTTGCTCAACACCTAAAGCAGTCTAGGAACCCCACTCCCTTCCCACCCACATGCTTGCGCCCCACCATGGACAGAGGGAGTGGGCATGGCCTCACTGCTTGGTCTGTGGGCACAGGTGAGGGTTGCAAGGGCGGCGGTCGGCCGGCCGTGGCTGGTGCTGGCACATGTGGTCGGGGTAGACCTCGTTGTCAATGGTACAGAACACCTGGCGGGACTGGCGACCTGCAGAGGCCCAGCCATAGTGAGCAGCTGGTCAGTCAAAATTCACCAAGTGCATTCTCAGGGCTGAGCACCATCCTGGGCACGTGCCAAGTGTCATCTTGGGTAAGCTTCAAATGACCCCCTGGGTAGGTGCCATTATCACCCCCAATTTGCAGATGAGAAAACTGAGACTCAGAGAGTTTTATCTGGGGGTGACAGAGCCCTGCTCTGACACCTGGTCAGGGGCCCCAGGCCCAGCCTCTGCTGCCAGCCTCCAGGAAGCCCTCTCTGGTACTCTTAGGTGGGGTCCTCCATGGAGTTCCCGACCCCTGGGCTTCTCTGGGGTGACCCCATAACATGCAGATGTCTCATCCACTTGCCCAGCTCCCCCACAGGCTGCCTCTTTCCCTGGGCCACCGCCCTCACCTCCAGCACAGTCCACGCTGCAGGTGCTCCACGAGCCGTGGCTCCAGCTGAAGCTGGGCCGGGCATTGCTCTGGGGCAGGTGGAACTCGTAGTGCACGCCGGGATTGGGCTCCTGGCTGATGAGCTGGGCAGGAGGGTCCTCGTCGAGGCCTGCCCACCAGTGGGGTGTCCCTGTCCCACGGCCCTCCCGCTGGTCTCAGCACAGAGGCACCCCCTATGGCCCCCGGGGACCAGGTATCCCTAGTCCCCCTAGAGGGTGTCTCCCTCCAGGCCCGCTCACCTCGATGACCAGAGGCTCTGAGGTGGGGCCGCGTGCATGGAGCCGCTCAGGCGCCAGGTCCCCCTCTGCACCCCGCTCATAGTGCAGGACGGTGCTGGCTGCAGGCAGGGCCCGGGCGCCCTCGATGGTCCAGTGCCCGTTGAGGTAGTATTCACCGTGGGCATTCTTCACCGCTGCACGGTGGGGAGGGGGGACCCAGTTAGCCGCTGGGGCACCGCGCCTCCTGCCACAGCCCCAAACCCACCCAAGCCGAGCTCTCACCCAGGAAATTCCTGCTGGCAGCCGCCTCCTCAATGAGGATGCTGGTGGCCCCCACGGGAACTACAAGGATCTGGTTGTAGCCTGAGGGGCAGAGAATCTCTGGGATCACCCAAGCCGCAGGAGTGAGTTGGCCCTGAGGACGCAAAGTGCCCAGCAGCGCAGCCGCAGTCAGGGAAGGGCAAATGGGACCCAGGAGGGCTGGGCTGCCTGGGGAAGTGTTCCTGAAGGAGGAACCGGCTGTACAAAGGCCAGAAGGGTGGGCAGGCTGAGGCACCCCAACTGACTGGGAAGAGGAAGGGGCAGCTGGGAACAGTGGGGAGGGGAAGAGAAAGAGCACCTAGGTGGCAGCCATGTGAGATTCCATGGAACAAGTGCACAGAGACCCTAGCCCACGGGCCACAGGCTTCTGTGCATGGCTTTGGCCGCCACCCTGAGGTACAACCTGAGTGTAGGATCAGATCCTCTCAGGGCCAGGAGGGTGCCTCAGCCAGGAAGACACAGGCGACAGGCCCTCGTCTCAATTGTCTGTGGACCCCCAGTGGGCCCCACCTCTGCTGAGGTCGTTGGCATCAAAGGTGCCTGTGACAGGGTGGCAGGCTGTGCCGTTGCCCCCACACTGCAGACATTTGTCCTCCTGCTTGGACGAGTCAAGTTCGTGGTCGCAGCCGACAGCCTGCCAGGCAGAGGTGAGGGACACGGGAGAGGCTAGAGGGAGTCACGGATGCCACAGGAGTCACCAGCCCAGTCAGGGAGGAGGGCCTGCTCCTCAGCTCAGGGCTGAGCACACCCTGGCCCTGGCCAGCAGCTGACAACTCACCTCTTCTGCCAACTGGCGCCCACCTCCCCTTCTCCGGCAACCACACATCGCTTTCCTTTAGAGGCCACTTCTCTGCCACAGAGTTTAAGAGCCCCCCAACAGTGGGCCTGGGCAAATCAGTGGGTGGTAACCCTTGCCCAAAGAGACTGCTTCGGGAGAGCCCCAAGCAATATAAATCAGAGGCAACTGCAGCATGGGCAAGGGGCTGGAAGCCCTGGAACAGGCTGCCTCTCCCAGGGAGCTACCAGGCGGGACTGCAGGAGCCCAGGCTGCTGTGGCCATCTTCACCCTTGCCAGAAAGAGCCTGCCTGATTCTGTGCTCACCCAGAAAGAGTAAAGCCAGAGAGCAAGCAGAGAGACATTTCCAGCAGTGTCATTCAGGCGCCGGCAACCAGACAGCCCATCCCTTCAATGGCTTTCTTTTCCCCTTAAGTCAGTCTGAGTTGGTTTCTGTAACTTGCCACCCAGAGAGTTACTTTTACTGTGAGGCTAGTTTTCAAAAGGCAAAGGTAAGAATGTCATAGGGCATCTGTGATGTGAGTCACCTTAGAACCTACTCTTGAGAAGACATCAAGCTTATGAGAGTCACTGGCCCTGCTGGGGTGGAACAAGGCAGGGGGACACCCTGCAATAAGCCCCAGGCCAGCCCCCAGGTGGAGGTGGGGTGCGCAACTCACCCGGCAGCTGCCATCCACACAGACGTCCCGTTTGCCAGGCTCACAGGGCGTCCCATCTACAACAGCCTCCCTGTGTTTGTAGTAGAAGCTCTCTCCCTTGGGAATGCAGTTCAGTTCACATTTGTTTGGGGCTGGGGCAGGCAAGAGGGTAAAGTTGAAATTTGAAGCAAAGTTCAAGTCCTATTCTAACAACAGCCTAGTGTGGGCAAGGGCCAGAAGCACACAAACGCCTAGGAGAGAAATCCCTGGCAGCAGTGTCCCCAAGTGGCTCAGAACCCCACCCCATCCCAGGGAGAAGGGATGTTCTCCTAGAAACTGCTGCATTTCTGGGGATCAAGTAGAAGACAAATCCCAGGATGAGGAAAAAGCCAGACACTCAGGCAGGCATGTCTCAGCATGATTTGTAATAGCCCAAGTGTTAATAATCAGCTACTCTTCAAGTAAGTTATTGTCAATAGAATAACACATTCACTATGCTGTTTAAAGTTATAATTATGGAGACTATATAGCAATGTGGGGAAAATGCAAAATGGTACTATGTACTATAAATACATAAACACACACACAGAGAAAATAACGTGAAAAGGTCTAGATTGAAACGCAGCAGTGACCCTATGAAAGACAAGGGGTTAAGGTCTTTCTTGTTTCAATTTTTGTATTTACCTAAATATTATATACACATCGTTTAAACAGCCCAAAAGTGCTATCGGGATTGTAATCAACTTCCACATCAAAGAAGGCATCTCTCTGTGACCCCTGTTAACCTTTCCTCTGTGTCCAATACTTCTATAATACAGATATGTATGTTTAAATTATTTTCAAAACACACTCATCTCACGATTCAGGAGGAGCAATGAATGCCAAGGGGCCCCACTGAGGCCACCCGCTCTAGTCAAGAATCCCTCTCCCACCATGGGGCGCACACGGGGTAGAAATGTTCACTGAATTGGAACCCAGACTGCAGTGTCCAGGGGTCATTCGCAGTGAGCGGCGAACATAGAAGGATCATCCTAAGGCATCTTCTGACTCATCTAAAATGTTTTAATTATATGCAATATAGAGAGTTTTTTTGGTGAACTGTACCACTCTGAAAATTAACTACCTACACCCTCGTCAAAGTTACCATGAGCATGACCTCCTGCCCTAGGGGGCCCTCAGTAAATGGGGTCTTGAAGGCTAGAGGGAGTCACGGATGCCACAGGAGTCACCAGCCCAGTCAGGGAGGAGGGCCTGCTCCTCAGCTCAGGGCTGAGCACACCCTGGCCCTGGCCAGCAGCTGACAACTCACCTCTTCTGCCAACTGGCGCCCACCTCCCCTTCTCCGGCAACCACACATCGCTTTCCTTTAGAGGCCACTTCTCTGCCACAGAGTTTAAGAGCCCCCCAACAGTGGGCCTGGGCAAATCAGTGGGTGGTAACCCTTGCCCAAAGAGACTGCTTCGGGAGAGCCCCAAGCAATATAAATCAGAGGCAACTGCAGCATGGGCAAGGGGCTGGAAGCCCTGGAACAGGCTGCCTCTCCCAGGGAGCTACCAGGCGGGACTGCAGGAGCCCAGGCTGCTGTGGCCATCTTCACCCTTGCCAGAAAGAGCCTGCCTGATTCTGTGCTCACCCAGAAAGAGTAAAGCCAGAGAGCAAGCAGAGAGACATTTCCAGCAGTGTCATTCAGGCGCCGGCAACCAGACAGCCCATCCCTTCAATGGCTTTCTTTTCCCCTTAAGTCAGTCTGAGTTGGTTTCTGTAACTTGCCACCCAGAGAGTTACTTTTACTGTGAGGCTAGTTTTCAAAAGGCAAAGGTAAGAATGTCATAGGGCATCTGTGATGTGAGTCACCTTAGAACCTACTCTTGAGAAGACATCAAGCTTATGAGAGTCACTGGCCCTGCTGGGGTGGAACAAGGCAGGGGGACACCCTGCAATAAGCCCCAGGCCAGCCCCCAGGTGGAGGTGGGGTGCGCAACTCACCCGGCAGCTGCCATCCACACAGACGTCCCGTTTGCCAGGCTCACAGGGCGTCCCATCTACAACAGCCTCCCTGTGTTTGTAGTAGAAGCTCTCTCCCTTGGGAATGCAGTTCAGTTCACATTTGTTTGGGGCTGGGGCAGGCAAGAGGGTAAAGTTGAAATTTGAAGCAAAGTTCAAGTCCTATTCTAACAACAGCCTAGTGTGGGCAAGGGCCAGAAGCACACAAACGCCTAGGAGAGAAATCCCTGGCAGCAGTGTCCCCAAGTGGCTCAGAACCCCACCCCATCCCAGGGAGAAGGGATGTTCTCCTAGAAACTGCTGCATTTCTGGGGATCAAGTAGAAGACAAATCCCAGGATGAGGAAAAAGCCAGACACTCAGGCAGGCATGTCTCAGCATGATTTGTAATAGCCCAAGTGTTAATAATCAGCTACTCTTCAAGTAAGTTATTGTCAATAGAATAACACATTCACTATGCTGTTTAAAGTTATAATTATGGAGACTATATAGCAATGTGGGGAAAATGCAAAATGGTACTATGTACTATAAATACATAAACACACACACAGAGAAAATAACGTGAAAAGGTCTAGATTGAAACGCAGCAGTGACCCTATGAAAGACAAGGGGTTAAGGTCTTTCTTGTTTCAATTTTTGTATTTACCTAAATATTATATACACATCGTTTAAACAGCCCAAAAGTGCTATCGGGATTGTAATCAACTTCCACATCAAAGAAGGCATCTCTCTGTGACCCCTGTTAACCTTTCCTCTGTGTCCAATACTTCTATAATACAGATATGTATGTTTAAATTATTTTCAAAACACACTCATCTCACGATTCAGGAGGAGCAATGAATGCCAAGGGGCCCCACTGAGGCCACCCGCTCTAGTCAAGAATCCCTCTCCCACCATGGGGCGCACACGGGGTAGAAATGTTCACTGAATTGGAACCCAGACTGCAGTGTCCAGGGGTCATTCGCAGTGAGCGGCGAACATAGAAGGATCATCCTAAGGCATCTTCTGACTCATCTAAAATGTTTTAATTATATGCAATATAGAGAGTTTTTTTGGTGAACTGTACCACTCTGAAAATTAACTACCTACACCCTCGTCAAAGTTACCATGAGCATGACCTCCTGCCCTAGGGGGCCCTCAGTAAATGGGGTCTTGCTATGCAAGCCCCTCCAAGTGCCCCTTGCAAGTTGTCCGAAGTCAGGCACCAGCCCAGCCACAATGCCTCTGTGCACCACGAGAAAAACTTCCCGGAGCAGGCCACGAAAACAGGGTTCAAAATGGCATAGACGTAGCCATGGCTGTTTGAAAATGTATATGGAGGGAAAAAAAGAATGGAACCTCAAAATGACCGCCACTGCTGTGCTGCGATGAGCACGTGCTGGAGTTACTGGTGATTTTTTAGAATGTATTTGACAAAGCACGGTGGTAAGAATTGTGAAATGGAAAATCAGTGTATAAAAGAGATCCCAGAAGACGGGAAACAGCACAGGAAAACGCAGGAGGGTAGGCAGGGGTGCCGGCTTACCTCCATAGTAGGGCAGCCACTTGTAGCGCCGCCCCTGGAAGTCCTGGCCGTCGAACTCAGCGCACTGTTGGGCGCGGAAGTCCGGACCGCCGGCGGGGCAGCTCTGCGGTTGGCGCGGGCCGGGCCGGGAGCGGGAAAGTGGGTTCACCACAGGGGAGTGACCGCCCACTGGCCCGGAGGCCAAGTCCTGTCCCATCGCCCCCACCCCGGGCGGTGCCGCAGCGCCCTCCCCTCCAGGGGGCTTTGGGGTTCCGGAGGGGGGAGGAGTGCCGGGTGAGGGAGGGGCTTCCAGCGCAGCCCCGCGGGGTGTCAGGCGGGTAGGGGTCTGGGAAGCTGGTGACCCCCTCCAGTGAGCTCTACCTCTGTGTGACAAGAGCGGTGACTCCGGGCGGGGCCCACGCAGCTGAAGCCTCCATCTCTCCTGCGGGACGGAGGAGAGCACCGGGAAGCCCCGACCCCGCCTCCTCCAGGGGCTCCCTGGCCACAGGCCGGCCAGCCGCTACAGGGCTACCCCGCAGGCAGTGCTGGGCCAGGGGGGCAGCAAGGCGAACAGGGGCGCCCGCACACCTAACTCCCCTGAGGCAGGTGTGGTAAGTCCCACGTCTGTGCTTGGGAGAAGGGAGACTCAGAAGCCTCACTCTCCTGGGGTTCGTTTAACACAGGACCACTCTGCCTCTTAAAGCAGATTCCCAGAGACCCAAATTCCGCCCTTGCGGATAAAATAAGATGCAATATACACCAATCTGGTAGGGTCATTCTGCCATCTAAGGAGTAAATGTGTATAAGGTGCTTAGAATAATCTCTCTTCTCTCTTCCTCCTCTCACAGGGTTCTCCCGAACAGTGAGTTAAACCCACTAACAGACAAACTGTCCCCACACCTTCTTTTGTGACCCACCCCTCATGGCACCTGTCAGAGTGCAAGGCACATAGTAGGTGCTTAATATGTCATTTCAAATGGAAAACGTCTATACTTGATGAACAGGCTGAAGACAGACACACTGCACCTGTTAGGAATTGTTGAAGATCATTCATTAATTCAACAAGAATTTGATGCACCTGCCACGTGCCAGACACTGCTAGGAGCTAGGGACTCAGGGCTGAAGCCGGTCCCAGCTGCCCGGGTAAGGCTGACTCCACTCCCCTGGAATCAGACTGTAAGTAGGTGGGAAAGGGCTTGATTTCAGATGCTCCATTCATACTATCCCAGAGCCAACCTTGCTTGGTAGGTTCTGCCCATGTGGCCTGGCACTGGCCAGGAACACTTAGCCCAGGACCCGGCCGACTCCCTCTACCTGCTCTTGTTTACCAAGCTGGCCCATTGTGGCCTCCCCTACCTCTGGGAGTAGCAGGGGCGCTCCCGGAAGCTGATGCCTCCTCCGCAGGTCCGGCTGCAGGGGCTCCAGTTGCCCCAGGGGCCCCAGGTGTCACTCTGCCGCCTCGCCCTGGGGGCCTGAGGAGAAGACAGCACTGGAGCATGGCTGGAGCCTGCCCAAGGGCACTCAGGCTCACAGGAGGGCGCCTGCCTTGACACTCCCGCGCCTGTTCAAGGAGCCTGGGATTCCCTCTCCCAGAGCCAGCCCTTCAGGACTTGGCGGTAACACCAGACACCCCAAATATATTCATTTGCAGAATTAGCCACCATTTACCAAAAGGCTCTGAGAGCCAGTCCTTCTCACCTGTCAAAGTAGTCCTCACCAGCAACTCCTGCTATTTGCCAGGCACAGTGGGGAAACCACCAATCTGGGGGCAGATAATTTCTCCCCTGATGACAATATCCCCTGGCCTGTATTCAGTCTGGCTTGAGTACCAAGATGTCTGCGAACATCCCCTTGCACAGGAGCCCATGGGTCCACAGAGTGTGCCCTCCAGGAGGGAGATATGAATGAGCAGGAAAAGCAGGCCATACCCTCAGGTAGGGAGAGCCCCACCTGCACAGGGAATGTTGCCCCAGGAAGTGCCAGGCTTCACCAGGGCCTAGAGTGGAAAAGCCACACCAAGCCTTGATGCACCTGCTCCTGCTCTATGTGGTGACACTTCAGGAAGTTTCTATAGCTCTGGCCTGTTAAACTAGGAACTTAATCTAATCCTGTGTGTACATGATGGTGGGTAATTGTGGTTTCTTCCTGCCAATCTGTGGCTGAGACTCCCAGGAGTCCCTGCAATATCTACTCCCCTTTCTTAGCTGGGTACCTCACTGCCCAAAACAAAAATTCATTTCCCAGATTTCCTGCAGCTAAGTGTGGCTGTATCACTAAGTTCTCACCAATGAGAATGAAAATAAGAGTGTTGCGCAGCATCCTCCAATAATATCCTTAATAGACAGCCTGCATATGTGTTTTTCCTTTTTCTTCTTCTTCCTGTACTCCTTCCTGCTAGTCAGAAAGCAGATGTGGTGGCTGGAGCTGGAGCAGCCGTTGAGATCATGAAGTAACTTGGGAATGGAGGCATCAAACAGTGAAGCAAAGATAAAAGGATCTAGAGCCTGGAGGACTTTGTGAGTCAGGAAGACAGGACAGATGTTAGACTGGACTTCACAGTTTTGCCAGGACGCAGAAAGTATACTGGAAATAAGTCCTGTCTGCTGGAAAGGGACCTTAATTTGGGGCATTGCCACATAAGAATCTCTAGGAAAAAATTACTCCCATTTTCCAGAGAAAGGACTCAAGTCCTAGAGTGGAAAAGCAAGCTCCTGCTCCCACCGGGAGTGTCCAGCACCTCACAGGTTCTCATGTGAGGATGGAGGTTTACACACCTGCAGATTGCTCATAGCTTATTTTTAACACCCCCAGTGCCAAATATCGAGTTAGCCTTGTTTTATAGCAGAGGCAGAACCCTAGGCCAGAAAAATTACAGTAAATTTGCTGAACCACACATAAAACCAAGAAGGAAGGCCTGACCAGCCCAAAGGTCTTAGTTTTACTCTTCAAATCATTTATCCTTCAGCTCTAACAGGGACAAACTCCATGCTTTCAAAAATCAGTGATCCAGAATATGTGTTCTCTCAGTGAAATTTAAACAAACTTACTTGGATCAAGTTCTGATTTTAAAGGGGAAGATGGTATCAGAGGAGGACGGGCCTGCATACTAAGTACTGAGCCTGACAAACATCCCCTTGCTTCATGCCGAGCACCTATGAGGCAGGCATCCACTTGTCCAGGGCCACCAGCAGATGGGATTGAGGGACCTAGCCTGCCAAATCCTAGAGCTGTGTCCTGCCCTCTGCTCCACACTGTCTTTGCGAGAAAAGCAGGCACATTCAGCCAGCAACATAGACACATTTTGTTCCTCCATAATTATCCAAACCACAAGCTGATGGAATGAAGCCAGAATGAGCTGGTCCAGTCGGCCCTCACCCTGCCTGCCCTCACCTGCCTCCCGCTGGTCCAGCACCCCACCCATGCCTCCTCCAGCTCCCATGGGGGGCAACTCAGCAGCCCCCTTTCCTGCTGCGCTGTTCCATGGGATCAACAGTCCAGTGCATGTGCATGTGTGAGAGGGTGTGCAGGTGGGAATGGAGGCAGAGGCAAGGAGGCTGGAAGTACAATGTCTCAGGAAGCCCTGGCCCCAGCCTGGGGCTGGGAGGTAGGCAGGAGGCATGTTGGTAGAGCTGCATCTGTACTGTCTTCCTCCCTAAACATCTACTGCTGTGTTTAAGCTAACCCAGGAGATGTGCTCAGTGAACCTTTGGTGGCTGGTGCTCCCAGCTAGAACCAGAAACAGGAGGGTCCCAGGAGGATGCCTAGGCCAAGGACTCCGGAGTGTGGCATCTAAGGAGCAAGGACCGTGGGGTGGTATAGGCCACCATGGGAAGCTGGCAGGTGGGGAGAGGACATGAGGGAGGAGGGCTGCAGCCCAGCCAGGGCTCTGTGGCCAGGGCTGGAACGGTGGGGTCTGGAGGAGTGCCTGCCGCCCACCACTGACATCCACCCCTGCCTGCCTCCCACGTCTTGCCGCCCTCGACTCACATTTCCTCAGCGGCAGCATTTCCCCTCCCTCCCCAAGGCAGCAAATAGTTTGGGTCTTCCTCACAGAGGGGTGGGCAGTGCTGTGGGGACCCTCTGGGAGAGCTCTCCAGGGGCAGGATGGGACCTGGCTGCCACTGCACCCTCCATCCTGTCAATGCCAGGAGCATCCTGGCAGGAGCAGCCTCCAGGATCCAGCCTGCTCTGCAGTCCCTCCCCTCCCCAAAGGCAGGTCCTGCTGTCTAGGAGATTGCCTGTATATCCCTGGGACCCAAGTAAGTTCTCCTGGGAGCCCATCCTTTGGGCCCCCATTAATGAAACAGCTCTTTTTCCTGTGTTGGTTTCCTGTGCCCACCTTCTAAATGTGCACTAATGCAGTAGCCACTAGCTACATGTGACTATTTAAATTTAAGTTAATTAAAACCAAATTAAGAAGCTCAGCTTCTCAGTTGTACTAGCCACATTTCACATGCTCAATAGCCACAGGAACCGAGTGGCTACAGGTTGGACAACATAGATTCAGAACACTTCTACCCTCTCAGAAACTTATATTGGCTAGCCCTGCTCTAGATGCTGACCCCAGTTGGGGAGGAATGAGTGCACCCCAAACCTCTAGATGTAAACAGTCTGGCTGAGGGGCAGCTGGATTTGGTCCCAGGCAGACGGTAGGCCTCTGGTGAAATGGGCTATGTAGTCCTGCAACCTTGGCTGGTGCCAGCACCCTCCGTGCTCTACCTTCCACCTCCGAAGACCACCCAAGGGAGGGGTTCCCAGCGTTAGCACGCGCCCTGCACCTTCCTAATGGAGAGGGAGGTGGGAAGGTTCCATTCCTGCTGAGGGCGGCCCGCAGCCAGGAAGGCAGTGCTGGGCACCTTGGTCCGACGGCTTCAAGGTCCCACCCCTTTTTGAAAGAGCGGCCAGGCTCGGCTCCCCCCAGACCCATCTTCCCTGCCATTGTCCCTCTCCTGGGGACGTGGTCGCAGCCGTGGGGCGCCAGCCCGCAGCGGGGAGCCTCCTCCCCGCGCCTACTCCCCAGGGATCCTCCCCGCTGAGGCCTTCGCCCGCGCCTCCCCAGCAGGGGCCTCCGGGGGCCGGGCAGGGCCACACTCACCGAGAACCCGGGCGCAGCGGCCAGCAGCGAGAGCACGAGCAGGAGCAGCCGCATCTCGGCCTGCGGGAGACGCCGAGTTGGAGCGGGCGGGGCAGGCACGAGGCGCCGCCCCACCCTGCGCCCCGGGTTCAGTGAGCGGTGGGCGGGGGCCGGCCACCCTATCGCGGATGCCCATCGGTGATCCGGGGAGCCGCAGAGGGACTGCAGGGTACGGGTGGGCCACAGGGGCACAGCGGCCCTGACACTCACCCACATGGCGGAGAAATGGCCTGTCTACTCTGGCTCCTAAAAGTTTAAGATTAACTCAGTGTTCCAAAGGGAAAAAAACAGGGCAATTAGAAATACGTCCTTGTAAGACAGAGCTCAGAATCAAAGCAATCAGACTCACTGTTTTAATTCACCGAGAAATTCCTATTTTAAAAAGCCACTACATAAGTTATTTAAACTATTTAATATAGATTTTTCTAAAAGAAAGTCTCTGAAGACACTTCTAAAACTCAAAGCTTTAAAATTGTTAATTGTATCCTACTTTAAACACAAGACAGCATTTCTCTGCACAAGGGAAGCTCCCCAAATGGGCTCATACCACTGTGAGTTTAGTGCCATGTGCGAGCACGGATGGCGTGCGTGTGTAAATATGCAGGGTGATGTGTGCGTGTGCGGTGGTGAGTACGCAGGGGGTGTGGGTGCAGTGCCCGTGCGGATTTGCTGTGTGGCCGTGCGTGCACGCGCAGTGTGTGGAGTGAGCGCAGGGTGTTTAAGTGCCGCGTGCATCGTCTCTGTGCGCAGAGTGAAGCGTGCGTGTAGGTACAGTGTGTCCCGTTCAGTTCAGAACAAGAAGCAAGTACTGACATGTAATGCTAACAGTTTAAATCTGTAATTCTACCTATATTCTATTATTTTTTAAGTATAAGATGACTATAAGATGACTTCAGTTTACAAGGATGAAACAGCTTACATAAGCCAAGTTCTGCTAAATTTAACCTGGCACATATAACAACGTACATACAGCGTTAATTTAGCACAAGCAGTGGTTCATTTAGCCATTATTTTCAGCCAGTCGAGGTTCAGCGGGCCCACGGGGCCCAGGGCGGAGGTGCGCTACCTCCCCAAGGGCCCCACTGCCCGGGCGACCGCTCTGCTCTGAGCGCAGCCCCTGAGACCTCAGCGTGCGGGGTAGGCGGGTGATGCTGTGCGAGTCCTGTTCTAGGGCTAACACAAAATAAGCGGCAGGTGATGCTCCTCTTAAAGGAGACCGCCCTTAGGGGCAGGGTTGAGTAGAGTAAGGGAGAGACTGACGACAAGGTAGGAGAGAGAGCCTAGAACTACCGGGTACCACCACCACTGCGACAGTGACACTGGACCACGACCCGTATCTGCAATTCCAAAGTCCGGAGAGCTTCAGAAGTTATTTCAGTGCACTTGGTAGGGAAGGAAAAAACCCGTCAGACTCCATGGCCACCCTGGGTATTGGTCACTGGCCTGCTCCGCGGGGCCGGGTAGCCTCGACCTCCTCCTGCTGCATGAGGGCAAGGGCCCGGTGCGCACCCGGCACAAGGTGTGGGCTCTTTAACGTCGTGTCACCTTGCTGGGGCTTGCACTGGATTCGCACTTAGGGTGGCCGCGCGCCAGGCGCTGCATATCTGCTCCATCGCCAGCGGACGCAGGGGCTCTTCCCCATTTGCCCCCGATGCAAAGCTCATCCCCGCGCGCCACGCACTCCCACGCTCCGGGGAAACGCGCCTGGTGCAGCCCGCAAAACCTGAGAGTGCCGTTCCTACGTGGGGCGCGGGCCGACCCAGCATGTGCTGACCCCCGCGGCACCTCTGGGCGGCGCGCCAGGCCCTGCATCCCAGAGGGAAGGTCCCGGGCGGCGGAGGCGTGGGCGCGGCGCCGAGCGCGTTGCCTCCGTCCGCCCAGCACCGGCTGCTGGCGGCTCCGGCGTTTCCCTCCAGTTGCCGGCCGAGGGCGCGGTTTGGAGGTGTGACCCCGGAGCTGCGCCCACCTCGGCTCACAGAGCCAGAGCGGGGTCTCCTTCGAACCCGGAACTTCCACCGACACGGCTCTCCCTGCGAGCGGGGCGGGGGAAATTCCTTTCGCAGCCGCCGGTCCCCGTCCCTCCGCCTGATTATCAGTCTCGGGCAGCGCCCGGGCGCGCGGGACCCGCGGTGCCACTCGGCGGGCGTCCGCCCCGGCCCGCAGCCAGGGAGACTGGCCTGGTCTCGCGGAACGCCTGCGGAGGCTGGACTTTCTCTCCCCGCCAATCTCCCTTCATCCAGCCCTGCGGACACCCATCCCCAGGGGGGAGGGCAGTGCCTCTGTGGAGAGGCCCCCACAGTGACCGGCGATGCCCAGTGCCTCCATCTGCTTGGGTCTATTCCAAGGCTTGGCTGCTTCTCTTCTCTGCAGGCACCGGTGTATCCTCTTTTGAGCGGGCACCAGTCACCTCTCCATCCCACTTCCTCTGTGCCCAGGCCTTCCAGCTCTATGGCACCTCCCCCCACACCCCTTATGAACAGCACACTTCTGTGTCCAGCCAGCTGCTAGTCTTCCACTCAGAATTCTATAGTTCTGCTACAACTGAGCTTCTCCGCACACACGCTGCTCTTTTCGACCCTCCCAGCCAGGTTTTCCCACTGCCGACAATACACTCTGGAAACAGCCCTCCCTCCACTACCTTGCAAACTCCTACTCTTCCCTCAAAACCTTGGTCAACGTCACCCTCTCTAGAGCCTTCCCCACACCATAGCAGGCAGAGCTGATGCCCACTGCTCCCTGTCTTTGTCCCAGTCTGCTGTAGTTCCGTGGTGCATCAGCCCCTTGCCGATCCTGGCCACTTGTCATTTCTTCCCTGGTCTCCATTGGGGCAGAGAAAAGTCACCAGTGGGGAGCTCACCCCCTCTTCAGACTCCTAGCTCCTGCAGGTCATCTCCCTGGGCTGTCACTGATACTCAGAAAAAAGGCTTATTAAAACATAAGCCTTTGAACTCTGCCCCATGTCTTACCGATCAGTGAAGAGGGGAGAAGCCAGAGCTGTGTAGCAGGGGCCCATGAGGACTTGTGTGAAGCCTCAGGCACAGATAAAGCTTCGCAGACAAAAGGGAGTGGAATTACCCAAAGCCACTCTAGAAAAGGAAAATAGTTTCTTCCACTCAAAAAACCCTACTTCCTGACCCCATCAGCCAGGAATTTTCTGAGCCTGGTCAAAGGTTCCCAGTGAAGTGGGAGGAAGCAGCTTTTCCTGCAGTGGAGGGTGGGCAGCTGAGGCAACCTCCCCATCTCTTCCTGTTTTTCCTCTATGATCCCTTCTTCTCGGCTAGCCTGGCCCATGCCCATGACTTCTTACTCCCTGATCCAGTTTCCAAGAGGACCCAGAGGTTGGGGAAGTAGAACCCGCACAAAGTGTTAAGGGGCAATCTCCGACGCACCAGCCAGGCTGCGGTAGTTACTGGCTAGGAAAAGTACTTTTCAAGCCTCCCGTCCTGCTACCTCAGAGGGACATGGTGAGCACGTGCCCAGCGCATAACTGCTTACAAAGAATTGGTGTGCTCCCAAAAATAGTGGTTTAGAAAGAAGACTCCAGAAAAAAGTATAAGACTTTCCCTCCTGCTGTAAATTCCTCTTTGCACTGGCCCTGTGCCACTTACTGGCTGCACCAGACACTCCCCTCCACTTGGGGGTTGGGGTCGCCTGGGGTGGCAGAAGGAGCACAGCCCTTGGAGGCAGACAGACCTGGACTGGGAACCCACTCTCCCTCTCATGGCATGTGAACTTAGGCAAGTCATGTCACCTGGATAAGTCTCAGACTGCTCACTTGGGCCTCACACAGAGGGTAACTGGCTTCCCTAAAGCTCCGAATAGGTGCTCCATAAAAATTAGTTCCTTCCGCCCCACTCTCCCTCCACCTGTATTCTGGATTCCCTACACCTTGATCATCTCAGCAGTTTGCAGTTCCAGGCACATAGTCAAGAAATAGTGACCAGTTCTCTTTGTAAGGCTGGGTTGGGCTGGGAAGGTGAAGAGAAGAGAGAGAAAGCAAAACCCTGAGAGGCTCAGGGCTCCTGGGATGCACCTCCTCCAGGAAGCCTTCCCCTACACCAGCCTCTGTGCTCCCCTGGTGCTAGGGTTTGTACTTTTGAGCTCCCGCAGTGATACATCTGTCTCTCCCTCTAAATTGTGGACTTTACAAGGGCAGGCATCTTTGTCATCATTGTCCCCTGAACCAGAGATCTGTGGTTGCCATAAACGCACCCCTCAAGAGGGCAGGTGTGGGAAGCACTGTAGATTGACAGCTTCCAGCTGCCACAACTCTGTCTACACCACCCCAGAAGTCTCCCCCTGTGCCTTCCTTCCCCCTTATCGTCCCATGTCCCCTCGTAGATCTCTTGCATATCTAACCTGACCTGACACACAGTATTCTTCGTTGTAATCCACAGAAAAGGACGTGGTGAACTTAAACAGAAAAGTTGCTTAGAGGAAGGACATTAGGAGCTCATGGGATTGACTAGAAGGCTGAAGATTCAGGCACAGAAATGGTGTGGAATCCCTGCTGAGGTCACAGATCATGGCCCAGGAACTGTTCTGGTTAGGACTATGCTGCTAGACACTGCGTTTAGGCAACAACGACCCAGGCTGCCCCCAGAGAAGGCCCTGATAGCCCCTGGAGACTCCAACCCCGACAGGAGCTGAGAAACAAGAAGGGCAGGTTCCCAGAAGGGGGGCTATCCCCAGCAACAGATGCCCACTCTCCCCTGCACACCCCTAGGGAAGGCTGCTTCTCTGGTCCCTTCTCTTGTTAGTGCTGGTTGTTTATTCATTTTTCATTCCTTGAACCCTTGAGTGCCTATTGTGAGGGAAGCCGGGGAGAGACCCATTCAGCAGTGGTGCGTGTTAAATCACCAGCTCTGAAGAAGAAAAAGGGCTGCTTCAAGGGCTGCTTCCCAGTGTGCATTGATTTCCATGGTGTAAATACTCCAAGGCTGCTCCCAAGCTACCAAGGTAACATCACTAACCAGAGTTGGGAGGAGATGCGCAGTTAGCTGTCCCAGCCCTGGGCTCTG